TTTTGATATAAAATTCGATAAGTCGGTTCTCTCGATAAGTCGGTCATATGAGCTCACCCCAGCATGACCGACTTATCAAGTTTACATGTGTATAATACACTGTAAATTTGCAATTAGCCCGTTCTAAAATTGGATTTTCTTTATTTTAGTAACATTGCATGGTAAACACCATTTCAGCAGAGATGAAAGAATACTTTACCCGCAAAACCAATAAAGCATGGACGAACCCTTCTACTTCTTCAAACGTTTCTTTATCCAAGGGTATTTTTGCTTTAACAACCGGAAGATGATATTTTACCCCTTTTTCCTTTATCAATCTGTGAACCCCAATACACTTACCTGTGATATTAATGCCAAATCCTATATAATTTTTATAAAATGCTTCTTTCGTACATCTCTTTACAAGTTCTTTGGATCCAGCCAAACAGAATTCCACCAACTTATTATGGTCATGATGAATCTTATCTTTGTCAGCATTCCATTTTCCACTCTTGAAGAATATGATTTCTTCCCATTTCTGACGAAGATAAGCATGAATCATAATGTCCGGTTTATTACCTCTTGACCCGGTTTTTTGTTGAACTTTCCGGTTCTTACTGGCTATACTTTGTCGTTCAGATCTGGTAACTTCAATCTCAAAATCAACAGGTAGGTGATATGTGGACATATCTAATAAACGAGCGATTATTTCCACTAATGTATTTTCAGAACCTCTGGAGACTCTTTGAAGTGCATTCATTTTAATTTCCTGTAAAAGAATGTCAGTAATTCCTTTTGCTATACATTCCCGAATATGAACATCTTCAACCCATTGATCTTGTGTTACAACTTCTCTTGAAGGTAAAACAAGTTTACGCGATTTCTGAACCTCATTTCTTTTTGATATAAAATCATAACAAACGTTCTTTACTACATTATCTTTACAGAGGTTTCTTATATTAGCCTTCTCTCCCTATTGAAATAATTATATAATAAGTATTTTTCTTCTCATCATCGTTAAAAATATAGATATCATATACATACAACAAGGAGCTTGAAATCACTTTCTAAAATATTATATTTTTCCGAACTAAGATCAACTATTCCAATACATAATGGATCCTTGTTTGATAATTCATTTACATCTATATTACTCAATCTTGTAAAAATATGCTCATGGGCATGTGTCTCTTCCTTCTAACAGATTGAAAAAAAAGTTAATTTTGTACGAAAAAAATCAAATTAGATAATATGGGGCATACTGCAACAAAACCAGACAAAGTGAACATTGGTATTACCAAGAATTTCAGGGATCAAAATTTAGATGATTATTATTAAAATCTTCCATTTGTTACCCTCTTAATATTAGGTGATATATAGAATTATCTCTATATAAAATAGTTAATATGAAGTTAATTTACATTAGGTCTACTATGGAACCCAAGAATTATAGCACTATTAGAACTATTTTGAAGAAAGAACAAGGTGAAAAAATTGCTCCTTATATTTTTAAATTAGCAGATATCAAATCTTTGCAAACATATTTAGACAAAGAAAGGATTACTTATGAAATTTATAAAGAAGAAAGAAAAATAATAAATGTTAGAAAAAGAAAGCAGAATGAAGGTGTGCTATTACCCAACAAAAAGCAGAAACATTTAGAAGAAAATTAAAGTTATGCCTGCTATTCATAATCAAATAGATTGTTTGATTTCAAAGTAATCTTATTAAATAATAATTATTAATGTAACAATAATTTTTTATAAAGCCAAATCAAAGACATAGTTGTGTTATTGCAGGCATTTATTTACAAAAATATGCCTTGAGAGTCTGGTCTTGAAATATTATTTGTATATATTCAGATTCTATTTATATAGTTGTTAGATCTATTCATTTTCTTTGCTTCATTATTTTTCTTTATTACTTAATTATCATTAATTTTTTATTGATCATTAATACTAATTGCAGTTAATAATATCAAGTGACCTTTAACATAAATAAAAACAAGAATATAAAAATATGTTTAATTCCTAATTTTAATAAAAATATATTCTTCAGTAAGCTTTTTTCTTAAAGATATTACTTATAAACTTTAAAATAATGTTAATAATAAAATTTTCAGATTAGATGAATGAAAATGGAAAACTAAATGAATGTATTAGTATCTAGCTTTGGTTTTTTAGGAGTTGGTATGCATGGAAAAATCCAATGATCATCTTGATTATGGGATCGTTTTCTGAATCCAGCTTCCTTAAATGAATTAGATGTTAAACTTTTTGTTTGAATAACTTTCAGTGTTTCTTGAACTACATTCTAACATTTTAAACAAATATCATTAATTATATATGTCAGTGGAGGAATACACAATACATTTGACAAATAGTTCAAATATAACCTTTGAATTGAGAACAGCTGCTAGGATTGTCAAGATTGAGGGAAATTTTTTTGAGGAGTCAGGAACTTCCATACATTGACCACGCCTAATTCTACACACATATCCATTTGGATTATCAAGGTATACCAGCAATATCATTAAACCTATAAATTGAATATTGATCAACAGTGAGCACTGATGAATTCCCACAAAAATCAAGATCAGGGTACAAGAAAAGGCATAACCTGCATTAATCATTCCCAAAGTTTGAAGTTTCTTACATTTCCTTTTATCCCATTCAGCTTCATTCATTAACATTATGAGCATATCTTTTAGAGTTTTTGGTAGCTTTACACCTATTTCTTCTAAAAATTTTGTTCCTTTTTCATCTTTCCATTCTTTTGCTGCTTCCATCAGGAAACTTTTCCCGCCGTAATATTACATCCGTAAGTTTTAATATGAAATGACATAATATTTCACATAAAAAGGACATAATATTTACACTGAATGTAATAATTGCATAATTTTTGTGCAATTTTTGCATAATATTACACTATTTACGTAAGTTTATGGTGGGCCCCATAATATTACGTAAATTTACGTCAGAAAAAATTTCCTGATGTCCCCAGCTCCAAACTCAATTCTGTTACCTTTTCCAACTGACCTTAAGATCCAATCCCCTCTAGTTCCCATTTTACGACACATTCCCAATTCTCTATTTTTATTTTGTCTAAGAGATGTGGCTAAACTTGTGCTTTCACCTCTTTATTGTTAAAAAATCATTAGATTTATCAAAACAAGCCATATTAAAAAACAAAATAACATAAAACATAAAATACCTTACTACTGAAACAACTCTAATATCATTAAAAGCTTGATCAAATATTGCATTCCATAAGTGAGAATTGTACCATGCTTCAAGATTATCATCAAGTAATTTTCCACTTTCAATTTCACGTACACTTTAAAAGTAGTTTTTAGTCAACTTACAGCAACTTTTGTACAAACAGGAATTAATGAAAAAGATTACTTACGTTGAATATAATGCATATATTAGATAATCAATATCATGATCTTTACTACTATCATAATTATCACCTATATATGACTCCTTAAGTATTTGTCTAACTTTGTTCAGATTAGTCTAAAAGAAAAGCTTTAAGAGTTATTGAATGTATGTTTGCCACATATAGATAGATATTTATTACCATTTACCATTTCTATGAATTTATTTAAAAATTCAATTACAGCAGAATTTAATTCAGGAACCTCTGGACCTGGGACCATATCTATCTCATTCAACTCATCTTTGGTGAAATGTTTGATAATTTGTTCATCTTCAACATCCAATATGAATGAGTGTAAAGCACTAGGGTATAAAGTTATAGTTATATTTTTTGGAAAAAGTGTGACAAATGAGAAAACACTTGTATGAATACTTGCTGTTCAATTTTCAGCTTCTTTCCTAAATCATACAATTCTTCTTCAACAATTCTGTTGGATTTAAGTCTCCACATTTTACTTTTAACCATAGAATTATAAATATCATCAATTTGTTTTCAATGTGTGTTTTGGAGGTATATCTATTCATACATAGAGAATGCTTTCTGTTAAATTTTGTCAAATATCTAAACTAAAATATATTTATATTTTTAACTTTTTTTTCAGCTTTAACAGAATCTTCATGACTTGGAATTTCATTTTCCTGTGGGTTGAAAATTGGATTAATATCAAAATCATTAAAAAACAAAGCAGTCAATCCTACTCATTTGTAAAGACACAATTTACATATCACTTACTTTTGCTGATGATAAAAGCGGATCCCTAAAAAATAAATAACAGTTTAATTTTTTAAATAACTAGAGTGATGCCAAGTGGCGATAAACATCATTTTTTAAATAATAACTAGAGTGACAACAAGTGGCGGGCGACAACCACCACCACCATCCTTAAAACACTTACGCTTTATTTGCACCAAATTCGCTGGCTTTTCTTCTTTTTTTTTGTTGTTGTTGTTGTGACATTATTAAAAGAAGTTTGTTATGATCGACGCGTACACATTAATTATTTATCCTATTGGTTTTTTTTTGGTAGGACAGACGCGAATTGTTTTTTTTTTGGAAAAACAATATATTTTTTGACAGAGTCCAAGGTGACAAAACGAGTGTTGTTGTTTGGCTTGGCTTGGTTTGGTTTGAGTCTCCTAAAGAAAGCGTGTTAATAACTAACCAGAGGTACTTTTTTTTATTTGTATTGATAAAATATTTTAATTGGAGTCAAAACGCGGAACAGATCTTGCTAGATAATTACAAGATTTTCATCAAGATGATAATATTTTGCTTTTTGTATTCATTAATAATATTAATATTAATATATAATTACAAGATATCAAGACATTACAACTGTTGCAGATGAGGAAGGAAAAGAAACATTTTGAATATTCAATATTTGATTATCGGAAATTGGCAGGCGTTGAAGCACGCACACTACCTTGAACATTTACAGTCATTCGCTCATCTTCCTCGTGTACACAAGGCTAATCTGACTCGCGCCTGATGATACAATGATGCTACAGAATTCCAGGGAGGGGGAAAGATGCCCTGGAATTTACCAAGATTGCATCAATTGCAATGACACTTTTCACTAATCTTCCCAGACCAGAGAAAGCTACTGCCATGCTGGCCGAAAAATTGCCCACAACAATCCTGCTTCTAGGGCAAGGATGGCTCTGTGACCAAGATGTTACAATTCTGCTGAAGAATTTAGTACCATGTAAATATCCTCCAGCAAAGCAACAAGAATCTGCAGCTTGTTTCAAGCACAGGAGGTCATAATTCAGAGCAGAGTTGGTGGCCCTGAAATTGCATTTGGACTCTGATGTTAAGAGG